ATTTGCCATCATTTTTTTTTTTTCCTTTTTGTCTTTTTTTACTGACCGGCAATGGGATCGCAACCCTCGGTGTCGCGCCCGCGCCACGCTCAGCCAGTGAGCGGGAACCGGTCACCACATGGGATCCGAACCCTTGGCAGGAGAGCCGCCGCGCTCCCAAGCGGCGCACTCTCCAGTGCGCCACTGGGCCGGCCCTCAATTTGCCATCTTTAAAGTACCATTTCTAAAGTAAATTCAGTGGTACACATATATCAGAAAGAAGAAAAAATATTAACTCTTGGAGAGTTCTGCAATATATACCACTGATATATCTGTAGCAGAAGCCTCAGTGTGGCTCCAAAAGAAAAAGAAACTGTTGGGCTACAAAGTCAATACCAAGAGGGAAAGCACCATCTTTACAATGGTGCCAGCTGCTATTTGTGTCCATGAATTACATGACATGTTCTCTTTTTGTCCATTATAAATCATCTTCACAAAAAGGAGATTCCCTGGCCACCTTATAGAGCACTATTTTAGTCTTTAACCAAATACTGGTCATGTGCAAAATCCATTTCTTTTGCCACATTCTATGTAATATTTAAGATCTGAATGCCATTTTCTAAAAATGAGTTCATATTGACAAACATCATTTGCTTCTCTATTTGTCTAAGAAACCATTTCACAGAAATTAACTGCAAAATAAATTGAATGTTTCACAAATGAAAGCTTGAGCTTAAGTTAGAATCCAGACAAGGTCCAGCACTCCCAAACTTCCCTAAAGCATGAGCAATCTGTTTCATATGGCAAAGAGGGATTAGCACCACATTAACAAAAGATGACTGTGGCTTAATGGCATTCAATGAACTACAATATGTCATTTTTCTTTTTTTCTTTTTTTGGCTGGCCAGTATGGGGATCCAAACCCTTGACACTGATGTTATCAGCACCAGGTTCTAACCCACCAAGCTAACGGGTCAGCCTGTATGTCATTTTTCTATTAAATACCACAAAAACATTTAATGCTAAGAGATTCTTTAAAATAAGAAACAAATTTTTACAAAAACTTGCAGGCAAGAGTTAAGCACTCAGGTAAAGGGGGTAAAATCAGAAAAATAATAATTTGACAAAGTGGATAGGGAGGCTAAAGACAATAAAAAGAGTCTCACCTTTGAGAAGCGAAATCAAGAAATCCAGTATTTTAACTCCTTTGTACCTTAAAGTAAGTGCTTGTATCTAACAATTTAATCTTATGATTTTTCCATTGGATAACATTAGGAACTAATAAACACTTGAAAACCAATGACTAGGCTTACACTAGGTATTCAAGAAATTCTGGTTGAACCTGAGAAACTGATAACTTTTCATATATTTCTCTTAATACATTAAGTATTTTCAAATCCATGCACTGACAGGCTAGTTTAAACTATCAACTGATTTAGGTATCAACTGAAACTATTTGACTGGATTCCACATAATCAAAATAAATCTTGCAAATGAAATTTTCCTTATTAAAAAATGCTCTGGATTCGTGTTTCTTTTCTTCACATTTAACAAACTCAAAGTATTTGTTCTGTGACTCAATTTCAAAAATTGGAAATCATGCAACATACGACCAACTATTACTTAGGTATAACTTAGAAATTTAAACAGGGAGCTGATGCAGTGGATGTGGTGGACGTGGTGCCTGTGATGGACGTGGTGGCCCATGGTGGATGTGGTGGATAATGCTGCCCTCACTGTCTGGTCTGCTGCCCACGGCTGGGATCCAGGTGAAGACCTCAGGCAGCAGTGCTAGCATCCTCAGGGAATCACAGGCTATGAGCTCTGTAGTCCGTGAGTCCAGCCCGTGTACCTACAGAACTGCAGCCGGAGGAAACTGGGCACCAGATTTTCCAGCTCCTAAGACTACAAAAATCTAAGAAATCTGCAAAGCCTGTGTCCAGTGCCTTCTACCCCCAAACCTTTGGAGGTCCTGGTGCAGCACACTGAGGCTCCTGACTCCCAGAACTGCTAGGACTAGTCTTTATTCACCATGGTGGGCTCACAGGAGCCATTGTCCCTGTTGGAGAACCGGGCTCCCCCCACCCCATCGACCTACACAGACCCGGCCCCTTGCTCAGCAGCTTTCTGCATAAGTTGGACCAGGTCATGAACCAGGTGCTGGTTGGACTGACAGAAGCATACAAGAGCACTGTCCCAGGTCTTGCTCACACGTCCTGGCACCACGGGGCACCTTGACCAAAGCAGAAGTGAGTTGCTGTGTGGTCAGTTTACTTCTTACACTAAAATGCATCCCAACAACAAGAATATGCCTCCCCCAGCCAACATGTTTCTTCAACATCTGAGCCACAGCCAGCACTAACCAGAGGGGCAGTGGGAAGTCAGGCTCCTGTCTAACCTCCACTGCACTGTACCTGTCTGGGAAGGTAGTCTGGAGGTTTGCAGAATGTACTGATGCAGCATCAGTGCTCCTGGAACTGATTCACTCAACTTCCCTAACTGCATCTGTGCCAGCCTGGGGTCAGCACATAAGTGGAGACTAGAGAGAATGGAGAACTAGCTTGGAGGATTCTGCACGTTTCTCCAGAGGACAGAGCCCAGGTGGACAGGGGCTATGCAGACTGGACTCTACATGGGGTACTGCCTGGCACTGACTTCCTCCATCTGAGCTGTGGAAGAGCAGGATAGATGGATGAGAACTGCCTTAAACCAACGGCGAACGGAAACAGGATGGCATAGTTCCCCATCTGTCAGGGCCCTTCTCTCATACCACAAACATTTTTTGAGTACTATACACACTTTTTGCTAATCTCTGTTTATTCACAGATAAATCCATTGGTTTCTGACCTTGGGAAGCTTTGGTGTTGTGGAAGCAAAAGATATAACCACTAGATTATTTCCTCTAATAAAATATTTTAAAAGAAAAAAAAAAGAATTTAAACAGGGTGTAAGCCTAAGAGAAGCACTGGATAGATAAGAGGCAAAGGAAAAGGTCTGCTTGTGAAGGAGGTTGGAGGTTGGATACAGATCCAAGGGATGCGGTTCTAGAAATGGGGCCGGGTGACCATACCTCAGATACAGACCAAACTGACTGACGGCCTGGCTGGCAGAGCGGAAGTTCCACAATTATGTATTTGAAAGTTTTCTACACTTCAAAATATCAGCCACTAGGTCATTTGTGAATTCTCTTCTCTTCTGAGATGCCTTATACATAAGCAAATATATAACTGTCCAATCAAAGATTTTAGAAAATATGCCACATGAACTTTGTGATCTGTGCGATCTCTATATGGCAAGGACAGCAGAAGTAGCAGCACGCACGTGAGCTGCACACACCTGCACACACCAGTGCACACCTGCTTCCAACAGCACCCAGCGGCCAGGACTTCCACTTGCTGAAGGGCCAAGAAGTCCTCAGTCCTGAGAACTTGTGATCTTGTGGTAAGAACCTTTTAAAAATCCATCAAACGGTGTGGCAGGGTCTCCCAGAGGTGGCCTGCAACTGGAGGCAGGGCTATATAGCAATACCCAAGGGCAAGTCAGAGAGAGAAGCATGTGCACGTCAGCCCCAGGCATAGCCTCCTCGCCAGGGGGAGCAGAGGGCTATCGCATGCTCTGTGTCACAATCCACCACAGCACCCAATCCCCCTCCTGGGCTACTATCAGGAACAAGGATTTGCATTTCTTTCAATATTAACTAATACTCTGATAGTTCTAAAAATTCTAGAGAACTTACATAATTCATACAGCAACTTTTAAAAATATTAGTTTCAGTTTCTGTAGTTTGTAATAATAAAAAAATTTTTTAATTTAAAAAATAAAAACAAAAAAATTAATTTTAGTATTATTTCAAATAGGACAAATGACAATTATATTAACTAACTATGATAAAGAAAAAAGCCTATGACGGTGTTTCATTAAATGCTCTTACCTGATGGAAGAAATCATCCATAAAATGGTCCTTTTCAACAACAATAGTTATGTCTCCATCATCATTTTTCCTACACTAAAATGGAAAAATATAAAAGGTAAAATTCAGATTGTGAAAATTTTTATGTAGGCACAAATAGGGAACTGAAAGACAAAATTCAGTTACCACAGGATCTCAACTCACTACAGCACCAAATGGTAACAAATCAGCAGTGTACACTATCCAGGACAATTTAATTCCGCAAAAAAAAATTTTTTTAAAAGATGACCAGTAAGGGGATCATAACCCTTGACTTGGTGTTGTCAGCACCAC